AAATGGGTAGAATGTCTACCAGCCCCTAATGACACAGCACAAACCACTGCTATGTTGTTAATGAATCATGTATTTTCAAGGTTTGGACTTCCCCTTAGGGTGAACTCAGACCAAGGTACACACTTCACAGGTGAAGTAATGAAGGAACTGTGGAAGACGCTAGGCGTCAAAGCCAACTTCCATATTGGCTACCACCCACAGGCTTCAGGCCAGGTTGAGAGAGCAAACAGGACTGTGGTGAGTATTTTGAAAAAATACGTAGCCGCAAACCACAAGGACTGGGATGTGAAACTCCCTCTGGTCCTCATGGCCATAAGGGCCACTCCACACACGTCGACTGGCATCGCTCCTTTCGAGATGATGACGGGTCGACAAATGACTCTCCCTCTACACCTGTTGTACCAACCAGGCGATGCTGCCATGGCAACAGCCTACACCACACAACAATACATGAAAGACTTGGAAAGACACCTTAAAAACACTTTTGCTTTCGCACAGAAAAACCTGGAAAAATCAGCTGAAGGACGCAAAGCGTACTACGACCAAAAGGCCTCTCACGAGGAACTCCAAGTGGGAGACAGGGTCTGGTACTACACGTTTGCACCCAAAACTGGGAGAAGAGAGTCCGGGACCGGAACTCTCGCCCGTAAGCTGATGCCCAGATGGACTGGACCCCATCTGATAACCAACAAAGTGTCCCCAATTATCTACCAGATAAAAATCAGTAAAGGCCAAAAAGAGCCAACTGTTAAATGGGTACATCGTAACCAGGTTAAACAACACAAGGCGTGCAACAACTCCTCAGGAGACAAAGATCTCACAAAATCTGACCTCGTGGGAATAAGGGTCATCCAAACAGAAGATAACTAATGGATAAGAAACTTAACCATAGTTTAAATTCACAGGACCTACCCTTGACCGTTACGAAGCTAAGACCTATCTCTTTGTGTTTCCATAGGACAATGATGATACCACTACTGGTAATCTTCACCCTCTTGACTCACACCCAAGAGATCAAAGCCCTCGTAATAGCGGTAAATGAGTTAGCCCTTAAGGTTGAAGCGGATTACGCTGTCGCACACCTAATGGATAGGATTTTTGCTGACATGCTTAGAGATATCAGTTCGTCGGTAGATACACTAGCCACCGGTAGGATCCCACCGTATCTAGTCTCTCTACAGATGGTGAACGACATCCTCAGCTCCGCTACGCACGAAAAAGTTACGCAAACACAGGCACACCTGGCTTACACTCTCGGTAGCGCAATCCCAATCTACGTCAATCACAAAACATTTGAAATGGCGTTCATTATCAACCTACCGATAATTCCCTCAAACAGCATATATAGACTCAGGGACGTCGTAAATGTTGGCAATTGGCACGGCGAAAACCATGTTCAAATTGACACACCAAGGATGGTTGCGTACCACGACGACAACCCCTCAGTTTACCTAGCTCCAAACCTGCAGATGTGTGTTCTCACTCGGGAGATACACTATCTGTGCCCGAGCAAACCGTTTATGTGGAATAAAACCGCGGGCATATGCGGATTAACACCTATTCCGGAAAATTCTAAGTGCTCAACGACCGTAACGCCTCGACACCTGACTAAAGATGCAAAAGCGGAAATAATTGGCTCTCGTTGGCTAGTGAACGCTCCTCAAAGACAGGCGATCATAGCCTACGATCAACCCGGGGCAAATAGACCTTTGGCGTTACCGGACAAAACGATGTGGATCAGTGTTCCCCAGGGAACAACCATACACATTGGTGATTTGACGCTCTATCACCTCGATCCGGAACGATGGGACACGACTCTGGATGACTCAGAGTACCTGAGAAATATGTCTATAGACATAGATCCAGAGACTCTGGGAAGGATCCGTTTTGAAGGCACCCAAGTCGTCGACGTGGAACCAATAAATCAAGTTCTCAAGTCCCTCAGGTCCACAACTAAGAACCCGATCCAACCAATTAACTATGCGTGGTCGAGCGCGGACACATTAATCATAGCCCTGCTAATGACGATAACCCTCGTATTGTGTGGGATACTCGCATCCCTGTCCCGGGGCCAAACGTCACTCCGAGTCGATGTGGATCGCCATGCAGCGCACCTCGATATGATTATGCCTCGCGTAAGCGGGTCCGCAAAGAAGCCACTCACACGGGACAGCGCGACTGAAACTGACAACCAGGGTGAGGAGGAGCAGTGAAACGATGTTTCTAGATGCTTAGTCACTACTCTTGTCGGTGTTGAAACGTTGTTTAGTTGATTTTGGTTGTTTCTGAGGTAAGGATGAATCTTGTGTGTAGTAAGTTAGAGACTAAGAAGCCTTTGACCATGCCAACATGCAGTTCATTCGCTAAATTGCAATCTTTGCGGAGTCAATGTATATTATTGCTACTTTAAGTACCATAATCTACATTGGTCTCACATCGCTTAAGCCGAACCTACTCGAACAATTCTATTCGGGGGGATAGCTAATTCTTTTTGATAAGTCTCGCCATAGACTTCCAAAACATTTATGGGGAAACCAAACACCCAATCTCAAGTCGTTCGTCTAAAAGACAACAGACATTTGAACCAAACTATATTTTGCCATGTAAAGCTAACTTAACCCAAGTTAGAAATGGAAAAATAGTTTGGAAACCTTTTCTATAGGCTTAAACCCCTGTAGTTACCCCTTTTCAGCATGCTCCACCCCTTAACTGGTAGTCGTAGCTGTTCTCAACCATAATAGCTTACACACCAGGTGCATATAGTTTAAGGCCTTATGTAAAATCCCCTTCATAAGCCCACTTTAAACCACATAATTGCATGACACATTGAACCAGAACGGCACAGGCTGGACGTCGCTGGAGACAACCTTCGCTGGAGGCGACCTGCAATCCTGACGTTGGTCTCCACTCTTCATCCGGTGGCCGCTTCTTCAGTTCAATCCAAGGGTACCCCTCTGTATGCTGATTAATCAACACTTCCAATCGTTGTGGATTTACCATTGTGGATTATATGACTTTTTCCAGTGGATTACAGACTCTGTTTCCAAGGGGTTAAAGCATTGCTACAATGGAATTATCGAGACGATATGGAATTATAATCAACACAATGGAATTACCAAGAACATTGTGGGATTATCTTGACTTTTGTTTTCCTTGCTGGATTACTTTTGACTTTTGTTTTCCTTGCTGGATTACTCTTGACTCTTGTTTCTTTGCTGGATTACATCAAGCTTCAAGGACGATCGACGACGTAAGTCCATAGTTGGAATTCATCTCCATGGACAGGTGATGATTTCCAAAGGGGGGACTGTAGTGGACTAAGCCTACGTCGAAACCCAGTCTAAGGTCAAAACTCTTGACCTTTAGAACCTTGTGGGACAGAAGCTGTCATTTCATGTATTTGACTCCATAAATACAGGTTCACCCATCCTGAGACTTTCTTTCTTGAAGATTCAAGTGAAAAGAACACTCTCTTTTTATTATCATTACTATCTTACAAATGTTGATAATCAAAGTGTCTTAGTTCAAACCATTTTAGATGTTGCAGTGAACTAATCAATTTTATTAACTGAGTAATGATTTTATTCTCATGTTAAAAGCTGTGCAGAGTTTATGCATTTTTCTGATTTCTGCTTTTGAATGAGCAAGTGTGTGCGTTTACAAGGTTACAGTCAAACGAAAAACAAGTTGTTATGTTAAAACTGTCATGTTTTAGAATCCTCTCAGACGTAAATAGAGATGTTTTGCACCTGTGTCTTAGGCACGCCAAAACAGAACCCTCTCGGTCTGTGAGAACATTTCTGAGCTGTCTCATAACAATTCTCGCTGTCTCTAACCCCTTACGTCACAAAAACACACCCCTTCTGGTCGTTTCTGACCAATGAAAAATCCCAAAAAGTGAACCGGGAAAGAGTCTTTAAAATGTCAGTACTTCCTGGTTTACACAGACTCACAGGGACACGGAGAGACACACAGGTACTCAGAGTTGGAGAGTTGTCAGACTTCTAGAGTTCTGGAGTTCTGATGGAGTGCTGTTGGAGTTCCTGACATGACAACGAAGCTCTTCCGAGTTCCATGGGATTATAACATTTTCCACTGAGGTGAATATGTGTCGAACAGAGCCTCGCCACTACTTCTGACGGGCAACAGCCATTCTAAGGAGACGCTGGACCGGTAGCGTTAACGGAACACCATATCTGCTGATTATCATCAGAGAGGTAATGGGTCAAGTTTCCTACCAAGCGTACCGAGGCGAGCTGGGCTTCTGATGGAGAGTGTCGGTTCTGGAAAACACTTAATTTCCCTCACACACCATCCTTTACTCCCTCTAAACTTCTTTCCATCTTTAAACTTTCCTATGAAGTAGAAATTCTCCCAGATATTTAGAAATGTCTGTGTAAAGTGCTTATTCACATCCGTGTGGGTAAAAGTCATAGTTGTACAGTTTTATACATGTCTGTGGTGCAGCAACGGAAAAATCATGGCCGTATGATTTTTCCTGATTGATTGCTTATGTTGTTATTTTCATAATTTGCCAAATTAATGTAAATGTTTGATGTTAAATTTGATTCTGTAAATAAATGACCGCATTCATTTTGATGGGTCAAATTTAAATGACGTCTCACGTTTGCATTTCCTTAAATTCAATGCACGTTTTATTCAGTCCAGAAAAATGAGGAACTCGCGTTAAATGATGAATATATCCCAGCATCTGTTCATCTACAGCAGCGTGAACCTTTCTAGCTCTCTGCCGAGCACCTTATGTCATTTTGAACATTATTTTAAAAGATTAATCAAACTATTTTGTTGTTGGTATAGAATCAGTTGTTTGGTGGTTCCTCAGATTGAAATAAGTCTGTTGGATGATAGACGAAACATTTCAGCACAAAAAAGAAACGTCCATATGACCCGACAGAACATTGTTGGAAATCAAACTGTTTGTTGCAATTACACACGGAGACAAAGTCATTTTCTCATTTTATTTAGAAAAACAACCCCTCCCTCAGATAAAAGAAACCTAACACTTGATCAAAGTGTTTCATTTACAGATGATCAGAACCAGGTTTCAGAACCAGTCCAGTTGGGAACCAGGACTCAGGATGGCTTATATATTTATTAAAAAAACTTGGAGCATCAACAATACAATGTGACAGGACGAAGAAACTAAAAAGCCTCAAATGATTGTTCGAAATGAAAAGACTAAAAATGTTGTCAACAGTTCAGTAAAACCTCCAGCATGCAAGCCTGGTCCAGGATCAGGTCTGGATGTGTTCTCCAGTCTGACTCTGCTGAACCCAGCAGATCTGACCATCAAACAGCACCCACCTGAACTCTGATCTTAGGTCTGCGAGAAGCTTTGATGATGGACGAGTTCTGGTTTCTAAAAGCTCTCAGAGCAGGGGGTGCTGGACGAGATGGATCAGTGGTTGACAGAAACATCTGGAGAACGTCAGATCCAATAATGAAAAACACCTGCTGCTGATTCACAGAAAAATAATCAACGGTCATCTCATCGGTCAAGACTGGGTCAGACTGATCCGATCTAATAAACCTGTTGACACCACCCCTGCTCAGGCTCAAGCACGTCCCAAGATTCCTTCACTTTTCATCTATTTATCCATTTATTTGTCAATTCTTGTTTTTTAGTGCTTGTGAGTTGAACATAATCTGAACTGGGGGGAATTTGATCAACACAACCATCAAGACCTTCTTTTTGAGTTGACACTTTCTATTCACACTGGCACCTGGCAGTGACACCAAACATTCAGATAAATAAACCTACAGGTCATTTAAAACTGGAACTGGTCTTTAGTTTCTGTGAGTTTTGAACTGGTGACAAAGATTTTTCCCCACTATAAAAAGTCTAGAATCTGCAGCAGCTGGTTTTTGGGACATAAAGAGGGTTTGTTGTCCAAATTAAAGACTATTCTTGGAGTGAGACTGGAAGTCCTGATGATATGGAGTGTAGGGAGGTTAAATATTAACCATATTCATATTTGAAAGTCTGGATCAGTGATAGAAGAAGCGGTCTGCTCTGAGAGATTTCTGAGATCCAGTACAGATGTAAGGTGTGGGGATCTGGAAGCTGGACTCAGTGGCTAAGGACTTCAATCGTTGATCAGAGCCAGGATCATGCTGCAAACAAACACACACACACACAGACACACACACACACACATGAAGCTAACCTGCTAACAGAACATCTGTCAGAATATGGATTACATATTTATTTACCTGTACAGGTAGATGAAGAAGCAGAGCAGGTGGTAGCCTAGTTTAATCATGGCCTCTTTCATGTGGGACTTCAGAAGACCTCGGTTGTGAATCTCAGTCGGGTCAAACACGCCCATGTTTCCCATGGGAACCTTTACATACCTGCAGGAGAACCACAGTGTGTACAATGTAGCTTCAGGAAACAGCGTCCCGACGTGTTTCAGGAAACTTCACAAAAATACATTGCAGGTGTGTGACTGTGTGTGTGCTGCAGGGTTGGCTTATGGCAATACATTTCAAATCAGTTAATTTATATAGCTTCAATTCACAACAATAGTCCCATTCTGAGCAGCACATTGACAAAAAGTGGAAAGAAAAAACTTAACAGAAAGAAACCTCCAGCAGAACTGGACTCCGTGTGGGCAGTCATCTGCCTCAACTGGCTGGGGTTAGAGCGGACTGAACAGCAACACACAAACATAACAGCTTGTCTTTCTATGAGAATACAGAAAAACATGTTAATGATAGAATTACAGTAGTTCCTTGTTTATCACGGGGGGATCCGTACCCTGAAGAACGTGAAAAACTGCGAAGTAGGAACAGTAGTACAAGTAGTAAGTAGTAGTTTATTTTTCTTATCTATATATATTAAGGCATTAATATATATAGATGACTTCCTGTTTTGACTTCCAAAACAGGAAGTCACCATAACTCTCGTCTGGAAGGTCAGATTTCGCCTATACTTGTAAGACCTGCAGCTGGACAAGTAACAAGATGGACGGAAGGCGATGACGAAGATTTGGGAAATGCGCCCCGTGGTGAACGCATGCGGGATTGGCATGAGAGCGTCCGCGATGGCGTCTGGGTGGACTAGCTGGAGCTCCCGCGGTCGCCGTAAGGCCGGAGCGGCGATTTGCTGCAAGGGCCTCCAATGCTGCTTGCAGCTTTAATTTTTATTTTGTTTGTTATTGTATTACATGATGTTGAAAAGGTGAATAGGTGATGCTCATTACATCTCAAGAACCATGAATACCATTATCAAATTCAGCTTCACAGCATGTGGCGTCCAGTCCTGCGACTTTGTGATTTGGACCCAGCAGGATAGTCATTACTTGTGCAGCCAGAGATGATCAAATTATGTATACAGTTCTCCACATAGATGAACAGTTATTAATACAAAGTAATATCGTAAAATAACTAAAAGAAAGAAGCTAAAAAAAATCCACTTTGACACATATCATTTATTGTAACTTTTCCTGTTAACATTCAGTTTTAACTTTTTCCTTCAAATCACTGTGCGCATGTTTTAAAAAAAGAAATGGTTATTTGTTGTTACTTTTTCATGACATTACTTATGTACAAACAAGAAATAAAAAGTTTTTATGTATCCTTAACTCGAATACTTGAACAAAATATTTACAGTTTATTTTCTAGGGACTATACAGTCCCAAATGTTTGTTAACGCTGCACACACAATTACAATGTCATCTAATAAATACATTAGAGGTTTCAAAGTCTGAGACATAACAGGGAGCCAACTTCTCAAAATTTTGGAAATGTCACATTCAGTAACATTAAATCTGAACGCAATACCCTTATTGGTGAGCCCTAAACGCAGTTTCACGAGGATGGCCAAGATGGCCCATTTTTTGGACATCTGCTGGGGGTTTCATCCCTTCGTCTTTTTCTCTTGTAGCTGAGAAACACAGAAGAGAGCAATCATTAGGTAGAGCAGGAAAGCATCACTTTATATTGTTGAAACACAGGTTTATTACAGCCTCAGTTCAAGTCAGTAATCCCTCTATTTATTGCTCCAATTTTCCATTGCTGTCTTTGCCAGGCTTTTTAAAGTAGGAGAAGATGGGCGTGACAAGTCAGGACTGTTGATGTCTTCAGAAGCCACTTCTGTACAAATAAAACTTATTCCAGTGACTGACGTTAATGAAAAAAGCACAAGGTTGGCCAGCGCTAATTGGCATAGCATGTGTTAGCATACAACTTTAAACAGTAACAAGAAAAGATTAGCAACTGCACTCAGCATAACTGAACTAAGATATCTTAGCTTGTAAGCTAGGTACACTCATATTTGAATTGTTAATATTTTTGTATATAGGACGCAATAACCAGCGATGCTTGTTAGCTAGGCAGCCCTTACCTGATATGCAGTGCTCGCTGCAGATTGTTGCATTTTTAATCATCTGCTCGTTCCACTCGCATCTTCTGATAGCTTGCAACCAAAGACGCCTCGTTAGCCTTGAAAGGGGTGCGGAGTTGAAGGAATTCTGTAAAACTTGTGCGTTTTATTGTTTTTATCAAAACGGTTGGTGCAACCTACAGCAAAACAAGAAATGATCACGGTTTCTTACTGCACTAGACATGCACAGTATACCAAGAAGTGACCCGGAAGTGACGTTATTGTAACCCCAGATTTTATGAGTGTAAGTGTAGCCCTTTAAAAACTGGGCCTCACTGGCTCTCAAAAGGCTGAAGAAAAAGAGTAAGCCTTTGGGAGTCGATCTCCGGTCCAGATGCAATTTATAACGGACCGGGTGGGGCTCACACAGCTGGTGGGCTTGGACTAGAAGTTTTCAGTATTCGGGAATCGGCGCGCTGCGCACGGGTAAACCCAATAGCGACAGCTTTTAAAGGGCTATGCTTACACTCATTGAATCTAGGGTTACAATAACCAACGTTACCCATAGAGACCAAGATTCACAGTAAAGTTCTAGCGAACAGAGACTCTGCCACACACATTTCTCCTGTTGCATCGGCTTTGTGAAGGATTAACCCTTTGCTGTCCAGATGCACTGATCGACTTTTGTCTTCCAACTTAAAACTTAAAGTATGTCACATTGAAATTGTCCTTATATGCAGATGACCTTCTCCTGTATGTCTCTGACCCTTTACGGAGTCTTCCCCCAATTTTAAATATTCTAGAAAAATTTGGATCATATTCTGGCTATAAAATTAACTCACTTAAAAGTGAATGCTATCCAGTGAATTCATTAGCGTTAAAGCTTAAGCCTTCTGATATCCCTTTTAGGCTCAGTCCCTCGGGATTTAGGTACTTAGGAATTAATATTACACGTACTTTGCCCTCAATGTTTTCTCAGAATTATGCCTCACTAGTTTCCCAAATTGCATCAGATTTACAGAGATGGAACTCTCTCCCTCTTTCATTGATTGGTAGGATTAATATTATCAAAATGAATGTGCTACCTAGACTTTTGTTTTTATATCAAAATATCCCTCTGTTCTTGCCCAAACAGTTCTTCAGGTCCCTGGATCAAATGGTCTCATCTTTTTTATGGAACGGAAAGGCCCCCAGAATGAGACTTTCTTTATTACAACAGTTCACCACAAACGGGGGTCTTTCTCTACCTAATTTTACAATGTATTACTGGTCCTCACATATCCATAAACTGACTTATTGGTTAAATTCACCTGATCTGATTTGGTGTAAACTTGAAATTCAGTCGATTTCTGCATCTTTTTCGCCCGCTTCAATTATTTATTCATCATTACCAATTAAATTATCCTCAGTTACTACAAATCCTATAGTGCTCTCAACACTCAGGATCTGGTCACAATTTAGGTCCCACTATAAATTTGTATCACCCTCTAATAAAATGCCGTTACTAAAGAATCACATTTTTTCTCCAGCATCTAATAATGCTGCCTATAGAATTTGGTATGAGAAAGGTATTAGAACAATGAGAGACCTGTACGAAGATGGTTTATTTCTTAGTTTTTCAGAATTGTCTTCTAAATTTAATCTACCCACTTCACATTTGTTTCTTTACTTCCAAATTAGGCATTGCGTTTCATCGCAGTTTCAAAATTTTCTAACTTTGCCTACTGACCCACCATGGGTTGAACTCTTAGTTTTGAGCCCCAATCTGAAATCTCCTCTTTCAATTATTTATGGAAAACTTATGGCAATAGAGGCCGACTCATCGGGTAAAACTAGAACTGCATGGGAACGTGAACTGGGTGTTAAACTGTCAGATTCATGGTGGGATAAAGTTATTCTCAACATACGTCAGAGTACACCATGTGCCAGACTACAGTTAATACAATTTAAAGTAATAAATAGAGTACACTTCTCAAAAACACGTTTATCTAAAATGTTCCCCTCAATACCAGACCAGTGTGATAGATGTCAGACTTCACCTTGCAACTTAAGTCATATGTTCTTTTTCTGCCCAAAACTGCAAGGGTTTTGGAAATATTTTTTCTCCATATTCTCAGGAGTTTTTAAGATTCAGTTTCAAAGTGATCCACTTATTGCCATTTTTGGAGTTCCTGGGACCACACTTAATCTATCCCGCCAGCAGGGGGAGGTCTTGGCCTTTTGCTCTCTCCTTGCCAGACGTTGTATTTTGCTCGCCTGGAAATCTCCCACACCACCATCCACATCACAATGGCTTAATACTGTAAGATCATTCCTGAAGATGGAAAAAATTTTACTAACAGTGAAAGGTAGTTCAGAAAAATTTACCCACAAGTGGACACCCTTTGTGTCATATGTAAAATCTTTACCTTCACAGCGTATAGACTGATATGATTGACTCATCACATTACCATGTGACTTGATTTTAGAGGATAAATGAAAAAGTGAAATACTGTTTTCCTTTTGGTTTGTTGGGTCCTTCCTGTCCGTTCCTCCTCCCCCTCTCTCTCTCCTTTTTTTTTTTTTTTTTTTTCCTTATTTTGTCTTGTTTTTGGTTAAAGGGGGAAGGGGAGGAAGGGGAAGAGGGGAGGGAGGGGGGAAAAAGGGGAAGGAAAAAAGAAAAAATTGGAGAAGTCATGTAAATTTTGTATAATGTATGTAATGTCAATTATATATTCTCCTGATAAATAAAAATTAAAAAAAAAAAAAAAGTATGTCACATTGTAAAAATCATCATAATCACAAAATATAAAAGTGTTAAAAGTTATTTTTAATCATTTTAAAACTTCTATGTTCAGTTGTTTCAGTTTAATTGATCAAGAAGTACATTTCTGCTCCTTGTTCCAGAGCTGTGTGAAGGGATGTCCTACTTTGCTTCTCTTCTCTACAATTTAAATTTAAATTAGGGATGGGGTCGATCCGATCTGGTATCGACCTCCGAGACCTGCATAATTTACGTACCGGATTTTTCGGATCCAACCTGCAAAGG